TTTCCCTAAATACTTTCCGGTGACTTATAATAAGAACTCATATATCTTTCCTACAAATGTTTTATAAAAAGGATCGGCGGGAGTGTTTTTTATTGGAAATGGAAAGATAGTGAAGCGCGATGAGGGGCAGCGCTAGGTTTCTTTGAATCTTATCCTTCTGGCCTTCGTTTTTGTGGTTCTCTTCATTTCTGCCATGCTGCCTAGAGATCTGTTTCTATTAGAAACATCAGGAGCGGAAAAATAAACCATATTATTGAGATATTTTGCATTCTGTGGCTATAGAATCAACTTTATTACACGCCAAAGCCACACTAACTTTCTTTTGAAACTAGGTATATGTGTGTATTATGTTTTGTTGTGAATATACAGCGTGGGTGTGTTAAAGAAGGGTCCCTCTGATATGTCTTTTTCTTCCTGTCGGCAGATGCCATTTCTAGGCATGTCTCCTGCCCCACTGGGGCCTAAAACTACAGTTTGTTGAAAAACAAGTAATTGATCTTGAAGTCTTCAAGCGCTCTTTTCTCGCATAGAACTTTTCATTCTTCTGTCACGCTGTGTTTCTGTAGAAAGAGTCCATTTAATCTTAGGGAGTACTATTTTCTAATTTACTGAAGGATTGAGAAATATCATTGTTCAATTCTAGTCCTTTCGCACCACTTGAACCATATGTTCATTGTTTTTATTATAGGGGTTGCCGACATGTTTTGTGTGGTGCACTCAATCATACCGGGAAGAGTTTCTCCATACTCAGATTGTTGATGTCGTTATTTAATTTTATTACTGCTGGATGTTTTCAAACTCTGACATGGAAGCTTTGTTGAACAATTTGATTTGATTTTAGAAAATCCGAAAGACAAAATTTTGAGATATATAAAGAACTAATACATACAAGATGATCCTGATGATCGACTTAGCGAGATGGTCGAGTGACTTAATGCTTCTGATGACCAGGTAATATGAGAAAATTTACTGCCCTTTCAAATATGCATGCATTTCATACAATAAATGAATACAAATTCATATACAGACAATATTAGCGCAACCCAGGGAAATCAAAACTAATGCATGTTCTCATCACTGCTAGAGAAAACATTATGGCGTTCATACGAATTTATAGCATAATTGGTTGAATAGAATTATTAAAAGGATAAACCAGAGCCACCCAACTTATCTTCTATCACTTTGGACAATTTCTCTTGCATCCAAGGGCTAAAATGGTTCACCCAATCTCCTACTTCACCTTTCCTGAAGAAATTCTTGTACTCATGCTTGTGGATAAACTTACCGCTCTTGTTAGTCTCCAATTCTTTCATCTTCTCAAAGCTACATAGCTCACTTATGCTTCCAATAACACCATTATTTTCTTCCTCTGAGTTGAATGTGAAATCCAAGAACTCAGCCACACTTTTCAAGTAGAAATTGATATCTCCTATCAAATCTTCATACTTTAAAATCAAAACCTTGTTTGGCATCACTTTGCTTTCTCTCCAATAACTCAACATATGAGTCCAAAATGGACCACAGTCATTGACTCCCTTGGAGTACCTCTCAAATGCTTCCTCACGAGATAACTTGGGCAATGATGGTGGGATAACTTTGTTGATGAAAAGCCAAAATGACACGAAATTATCAAATGGGTTACGACATATGTAGATTATCTTGCACTTGGATTTGGTAATAGAATCAGGCAATAAATGAAATGGAACATGCGTACTAAACATTCTTGGTTCAGGCATGTCGGATAGATCAGGAATTTGGTTGTTTGCATAGTGGTTGAACTTAAAGAAAGGCACAAGGTTATGAACATTGGAAATGAGCAAAGGATGGTTTTGTTGTGAGGGAGAGAAACGATTACGATTCACAACGGCAAAAGCAAGGGCTTTTAACCAAGTAGTACCAGATTTTGGTAAGGAAGCTATGATAATATCACTATCTTTTGCTTGGAAGTTCTTTTGAAAAGAAATTATGGCTTGAATTCGAGGTGGTGGGCACCAAATGTCTTGGTAGAGATAAAGGGATGGGAAGTCCCAACCCTTCTCTCTGGGGAGAGAAAGAAGCAGATCCTTACATTCTTGGCTAAGGTTTTCAGATTCTTCATCTTCAAGCTCAGCATTTGGATGGGATTTTGTGAAGCAAGTAGTAGAAGTTGCAGCCATTAGAACGCTGGTGCAACCAGTAATCATAGGCATTCGAATAATTCGCTCACTAGTTGAATTCGTTAATTTATAGAGAGCTTGATCTTTTCTGCCACTATTGGTAGATAATGTCATCTTGATTTTTCGTATTAGATTATGTAGGGGACTCAACCGCTGATAATTACCACTGATAACTACAGACACTATTTGAAATTGAGACTCATCACATTCATTAGGACTCATTCGGAGAAATAATGCATTTGAAAAAACGACGAGGTTGTCTACGTGGAAAGTGAGGAAATAATAGAAATGTTGTGACTGTGACATCACAAATTTGGAAGATGTCATGTGGATAAAAATACAAATAGCATTGGTTGGTTCTACTTCACATTATATCTATTTCTATCTTCAAAATCGGTTTGGATGTTCAACATAGTGAACAGTTATGTGATGAGATTTGATCGTTCAAAAATAATTTTAATGGTCAAAATTTAAAATTTTCAGTCAATGGTTTTTAAATAATAAAATTATTTTTTGTAAAAAAGAAATTATCTTTATTTTAGATCATGCACACATTAAAATAATTTTTAAAAAATAAAAATGGACTATTCAAATTAGATCTAAACTTCGAACTCCGTATATCTACACATCTACTAGCGTTACCTAAAGTGTCATTTTCAAAATGGGTAAAGGAGCATTCTATAACTACACCTGAACTATTTCTAGACGTGTGCCCAACATCCGGTGTAATTAATTTTGTTCAATTTCTCCCCTCTGTTAATGGTCTCACCAACGCACATTTATTTTTGCTAGATAAGCAATTTATTTTTTTTTAAAAATATGACACCTAAGCATCACGCTGAGTTGATCAAACTCTTGCAATCTAGAAGTATTCTATCAGAAATACAAAGTTAAAAGTAAATACTTACCAAAAAAAAGTTCTCATTCATACCTTAAAAATAAGTGAGTAGTACAACTTGATCTTTAAATAGGAAATTTCTAATTTAATTCATACCTTAAAATTTATAACCCTCCATGATCATAAGGATTAAAAATTAGGAAAAATCATTAAAAAAAACTGTTAAAATAGAAAAATTGCACATAGGGACCCATTTATAAAAATTATTGTCAAAACCCATACTAATATTGTAATGGGTCCCTATTTGTAATTTCTTTTTATTTTGGCCGTCATTTTTTGCTATTTTTCCTAACAATTATTATAAAGATATAGAGGTAAGGTGATGATGCTACCATAAATTATTAGGTACCGCAAGTACATGGGCCACAAAGTAGTTAATGATGTGTATCAAGGTTGATCCTATAGAAAACTCACTTAGTGATGAGGTATTAAATTTTCTTTTTTCATTTAAGTTGAGCAAACACAATTGGATTTAAATTGATTGGTATGAAATTAAAATAAAATAAAGTAATAAAAATTGATTAGTTGTCATTCGGAAGCCCACGATCTGGGTTGAGCATAGGCCAACTCTACCGTAAAATTACCATGTTTTCCCCATTTCTAGTGTACATTCTCACTGCCATGACGATCCTAGATCTATTGTAGGCCATTTTTAACATGATCCCAATTCTTTTTAATTCCTTGCCACGCGTTTGACTCTGCGTTTCGAATATCAATTGTTGGGACCATATCATTACCACAACCATATTTTTTCCGTAGTACTTTGACCCAGAGAGACTCACTGTCCTTCACAAGCCCCTGGCCGAGTTTCACGAGAAAAGGCCTTGTTTTGTTGTTTGATATGTCTCATGCACAGACTTCCTGGTCTTTTTTCTTCGCAAACTTTCTGCCACGCCATGAGGTGTATTTTTTGCTGTTCATCTGATGATCCCCACAGAAAATCCCAAGCTTTCTTCTCAATAGCATCACCGGTGCTGAGAGAGAGGTCTGCAGTTTGCACGGTGTAATTGGAAATTGCTGCAATAACAGACTTATCAGTGTCCCTACCTGCAAGAGAAAGTTTATTAATTTTCCAATTGCTAAGTCTATTTACTTTTATTGATAATAAATTGATACGTCCCTTTTGTAACACCACGTTCATGTTGTATTGGAACTCCAAGATAATTGCTAAGAACTGCAGTAGGTGTGAATCCCAGCTCCGCACTTAGTTGCTCAACCCTGGTATGATGACACACATTTTTGGAGAAATCTCAGCAATGATACCATGAGAATCAAATAACATAATTAAGAGCGTGAAGAACTGGAAAAATAAAACCAAACACTGATAAGTTCTAAAAACAGAAGAACAAATTATATTCAGCCATGGTTTGAAAGAAAATCCACAACAAAAGTTGGCCAAACAGTGTTCTTCCTTTCAATCACGTTATCCCTCCCCACGTGTTCACAGATCCTCGGTCTCCCAAGGTAGAAGATGCTCGTTCACCAAGAGGAACACACAAGTTTTGGATGTGTACACAAAAATATATGCTTTTTCTAAGTTGACTCAGAAAATCTCGAAAAATGATTTAATAAAATCTGTACGCTTTTGAGAAAATAATTTTTCTAGAAAACTTGCGTCAGAGAGCATGCTTTTATAATTTTCATGGATAGATTTTTTTTCAAGAGCATTAAATAAGTTTGCAACACTTCATTTCAAATTTTCTGAAATTAATTATGTTGTCAAGTATTATTGAGAGAGTACAAGAAAAATCCATTACTTTCTTAACTTCAATATCAAATGATAATGATGCATGTTCGGAGTATATCAGAGAGAATAACATATTATTATGGCGCACGCTCATCCAAATGATTCAAACAACTAACTAGTTTAAGAAAGAAAACTTGACGCACGCTTGCTCCAGGAAGAAATTTTTCGACGCACATATAGATTAAATGGTTGAAGAGAGCTATTGAAAGGACAGACCAGAACCACCAAACTTTTCTTCTATGAATTTGGACAATTTCTCTTCCATCCAAGGGGAAAGATGATTCACCCAATCTCCTACCTCACCTTTCCTAAAGAAGTCTTTGTATTCAACCTTCTGCACAAACTTTCCTGTTTTGTTTGCCACCAGTCCCTTCATCTTCTCAAAGCCACATAGTTCAATAATATTTTCAATAACACCATTGCCTTCCTCCTCCAAGTCAAATGGGCAACCCAAGAACTCAGCCATTCGTTTCAAATGGAACTTGGTATCTCCTGTCAATTCCTCATACTTCAAAAACAAAAATTTGTTTGGTGCCTCCTTACTTTCCCTCCAATAACCCAAAATATGTGCCCAAATTGGACCAAACTCGTGGATACCCTTGCAATACCTCTCAAAGGCTTCCTCAAGTGATAACTGGGGTAATGATGGTGGTCGAAATTTGCTTGTGAAAAACCACAAGGACACAAAAGTATCATATAAGTTGCGACAAATGTAGATTATCTTGCATTCAGACTTGGTGATTGAATCAGGAAATGAATTAAATGGAAAATGGGTGCTGAAAAGTCTTGGTTCAGACAAACTGGAGAGATCAGGAATCTGGTTATTTCCATAAAGGTTGAACTCAAAGTAAGGAACAAGGTTATGAGCATTGGAAATGTGCAAAGGATGGGTATTATCTGAAGGAGAGAAACGTTTGCGATTCACAAGAGCAAAAGTAAGGGCTTTCAACCAAGTAGTGCCAGATTTTGGAGGGGAAACTAAGATAATGTCATTATCTTTTGCTTGGAAGTGTGATCGAAAGGAATTTATGGCTTGGACTCGAGGTCCTCCATACCAAACTTCTTTGTAGAGATAAAGCGATGGGACAGCCCAGCCCCTCTCTCTAGGAAGAGAAAGAAGCAATTCCTTACATTCTTGGCTAAGTTTTTCACTTTCCTCGTCATAGCCCTCATTTGGAAACTCGACATTTGCTTGCTTTTCTGGGAACAAAGTGGTGGTACTTTCGGCCATTGGTAGTTCCCACATGCTTGTTGACCATTTAATTCACAAGTTTTCAATATTTATTGCATCACTTGGTTGGTGGTAGATGCATTTATTTGAAACTAACAGTCGTATTCTCAACAAAATAATGAGCATGTAATGCAGAAACATATGCAATGGTAGTTGTCAACAACATAATTATGTCTCGATGGTAGTTGGGATCCGCTAACTAAGGTCAATTCAATATGGAAATCAATTAGACTTTCAGATAACTGGGGCCTATATTTAAAAAGCGTGAAATCTCTCTCCCTGTTTATCTATCTCGTTTTGCACACCGATAATATTTATTTGGTGCTATTTATAGGATATTTTCAGCATTTTTCATATAGATTAAAGCAAACTTTAAACTACACTAACTTTTTCTTACAATATAACAATTTTTTTAATTTTACCTCTATTTAATATATATACTTTTTAAAGAAGTAACTACCTACTCCCTCTGGTTTGTAATATAAGAAGTTGATTACCAAAAAAAAATGTGATACAAAATAATATAAAGCGTTGTCAGAATAATTAGTGTAATTTTTTCACTTTTACCCCTATTAAATATAGGAGAGAGGAGAGGGATGAGAGATAATGACAGTGTATTTAAAAAATAAGTTGTTACTTTTGAACTACATTCTTTAGGTGTAAAATAGGAAAATTTTATCATTTTAGGAGACTTTTTTGGTTAAGGTCATTTTAGGACATACTTAATGACTAAATTTTCATTTTTTGATATGTGAAAAAAAGTTAATCAACTTCTTATATTATGAGCAGGAGGGAGCACACTATAATAAATTATAATAAATGAAAAACAAAATAGTACGTTTATGCCAAAAATTAGTTAGGTGACTTATAAATAGGACAAAAAAATTCTCTCTCTATTTTATAAATAAAACGAAGGAGTATAAGCGTTTTCACTTCAAATACGATACAAATGTGAAACGACATTGTATTTTAGCGTCGGAAAGGTAAAGGATCCTACCCTTCTCTCACTGAAGTCAAAGAAACAGTTTCTTATACTTAAAAAAATCCGTGTTAGGTAAACGACATACCTTTGGCTAATGGTCGTTGGGCTAACTTAGTAGGAAGAACTCAATTTTTCTTAAATAAATTTGAAGTATAAAAAATTACAAATAAAAAAATTCACGTTCAAAAACTTTAATTAATTAAATTCATCATACTTTAATATGGTCTAATAATAATAATAATACAATTTTGGATAACTATGATAAATCTTTCCTTAGAGCTTATACGTTGATTCATTCCAAGTAAGTACTTAACAACTGGGACAACGATACTCCCTCCATTCCTTTTCATACGTTGCAATTTTTCGAATTGGCATGTTTTTTCATAAGTTATATTTTGGAGATGTCTAACCATTTCATGTATTTTTTTTTAATTTTTATTCTTAATTAATTATATGTCTCTTTCATGCCTTTTTTTTCATTCATTCTCTTTTCCACCCGCCTTTTTTTCTATAAATAAGAGTATTTTTTAGAAAATAAATTGCTTTTTTTTTTTACAAATCTATTATTCTGGGAAAATTAGACCCCCAGTCCTCATAGTTATAGTGAGTTTTGAACTAGGTCTTTACACTTTTTTTTTTTTTTGAATTAATGCACTCCTCTTAGTTTTAGTCGTTAGTGACTTTGATCCCCCGGGGGTTAAAAGATAACAGAAGTACGTCAACGGAGCAGACTAGATGAACATTAGTGAGACGCTCGATATTCAACGTTCTCCTCCTCGTCTCATCCTCACGCTCCTCTGGCGTCGTTATCATCCCATCACCATAACTCTGCTCCGTGTCAACCACCTCTCCAGCGTAGGGGTTATACCACTAGAGTTCCTCTGGGGACAACGCTGGCATAGAAGAAGTAGAAGAAGGAGACTACATAGGTGAAGAGCCGTAGGACTATTGTTGTTGTTGACGAGCCTTTGACTGCTCCATCCTCTCCTATTCTGTGTTTATGTACAGTCTTATATATAGACAGACACACACACACACATTTGTTAAATTCGTTGAAGATTCATAAACAGAAAAACTCTGTTTTTAGCCTAAAAATAGAGACAAACAGAGTTGCAGGTTGAGTGGTAGCTCGACATTTATAGCTGGCAGATAAGTCCCGGATTATGAACTCTATATTTTACATGACAATTCTTGCTCCTCTAGATTAAGTCTCAGGTTCTCATGGATTCTTGAAATTGTATCTTTAGTGTTTCCAATTTCCATTTACTTTCCCCCTGGTTGTATGACTTCCTATCCTCCTTTTTAAAAAATAATTACATTGCTTTAAAATAAATAAGCATTTGGCCAAAAAAGAAAAGAACATTGACCTGGCATCCTGTCTAAAGAATGATCATATATCAATCTTAATTACTATGAAGATAGATAAAATTGAACAAAAGACTTTATAATGAAAATGCTGCATTTAGACTTTATATAGAGATGTAGTACGAAAGACTCGTGAAACATTAAGTTTCTGAAGTCAATCCACCAACTTCCTGACAGTTAGTGTAACCAACTTGGATCTCTTTTGTGTTTTGGTTCTTCGTATTTCCAAATTCAATTCTTTATGTCTCTCTCATTATTTTTGATATAGTCTGTCTCTCTCATTATATACAGTTTCGCCAAGGCAAAACCTCAGAGACTTAAAAGTGGAAGACAGGGCCTTATACTCAGTTCATCTGCTGAAGACTTGCGCTAGTTATACAGAAGTTGGTGAGTTTAGGAAGGCAGGTGCTAGACTCAAGGGCATTGCTATTGTTGCCGTCGCTGATGGTGATCTGGTGCTCGTTATGGAGATGGCAGTGTCTCAATAATGTTCACATGGTTTACTCCATAAACGTCCTTCGGACATTTTCTAACGCTGGGGATCAACGTCAATGACGGCTTGAACTAAAAGGAGTGCATTAATTTAAAAAAAAAAAAGTTTAGGGACCTAATTCAAAACTCACTATGACTATAAGGATTGGGAGTCTAATTTTTCCTATTATTTTTAGCCAACTTTTTGATCTATGTAATTCAATTATTTATATGTTATAAAAAGGAACGAACGGAGTAAAACACAAGCAAATGAAAGTGCAAGGTACATGATTAAAGTGGACGTTATCGCTAATACGCTGTGAATGGAGCAGACAGAATGGATAAAAATGCACAAAACAATGCACTACTAGAAAAAAGATCTTTTATACCGGTTAGAATGGGCAATTGACATCGTGATCAATGTAAACACAAGTTTGATCTTTTTACACTGGCTGCAAAACGGGTGTAGAAGCGTACTTTTAACACCAATTGTTATTCCAACCGGTGTAAAAAATAAAATGAAAAAATAAAAAAGATCTGCAATTTTATGAGATCTGATAAAATCCTAGAAGAAGCTGCAATTTCTTCTGGAATTTTATCAATTATCATAAAATCCAGATCTCATATCATAACAAACAATTCAACAATCTAACAAATAAGAAATAGTATAAGAGTAGAAATAATCAAATCTAATGAGAACGTCAAAAAAGTAGCCAAGTTTTTTAAAAATGATATCGATTTATATTGGTTCATACAATAAAAATATATTTGTGAGACAAAGTTCAAAATTATTCGTTAAACAGACAAATAGAGAAAAAGTATAAATTTAAAACAAATATACTGGCGATGAAGATGATTACAAATCTAGGCAAATATGAGCATCTAGACAACAACACAATGAGAGCTTGAAATAGCAAGGATCTGCATGTGATGAGCACAAATCTAGATGGACAGGCACATATCTAGATGATGTGAGCATAGATCTCTACCTGACGATCGTGGAGAAGTCAATGAACTTAAAGAAGATGACAAGTACAGAGAAGATGATGTGCTATAAAGGAGACGAGAACGAAGAAGACATCACAACATAAAGGAGAAGAGTATGAAGAAGAGGTTACTGGTGAATGAAACATAGAAGATTGCGAGAGAACTTAGAGAGATTACGAGGGAATAAAGTTTGGTTTAAAAGATACGGCCGCAAAATGAAGTGGGTTAAATCTTTAGATTTTAAATCACCTTCTAAAGGCTTATAAAATTTTTTTAAAAAAATATTTATAGAACTTTTTACACCAGTTGTAATAAATATTTGGTGTAGAAAGTGTATTTTAGACCAATTGTATAAGAAACTAGTCTCAAAATTTGTAAATATTATTTTTAAAAATATGTTTTTAATACTTTTAACACCAGTTACACAAACAACCGACATAAAAAGTATATATATACCAGTGGTATGTGAAACGGTTTAAAAATCTATTACTATTTACAAAAAAGCCACTACTGTTACCGCAATAAACGGTATAAATTAGGCAGTGTAAAAATGGTTTTTTCTAGTAGTGATGGCAACATTATACTTATAAGGACACATACGACCTTGGAAATATTCTAAAACCGATGCATTAATGCAAAATTTCATAATAACCACCAATAATAACTTCCACAACCTTTCTAACTAGTTATCCCACTCCTCAAAATCTCAATAATATGAGTTGATTACATGGATTTCAAATAATTATCAAATATATCCAAGTTCTCTCCACGATACGTGTGAGAGTATTGAGTTCTCCCTGTCTCTGCATGTGGGAGTCTAGGTTTTGCTTATTCTTTCTAGTTTGTTCAAGTGTTCATTCCGGATTGTTCATTGAAATCAGAGATGGCGAAGGAGAACGATGAGTTTACTGTAAACGAACCTCTTGTTTGGTGTGAGGATGAGGCGAAGAGCGCGCTGATTAGGAAGGTCTTCACGGAGAAAGAGATTAGTAAAACCACGATGGAATTAATTGTCCGAAAAGCTTGGAATCTTCCATCTGGTTGGATGTGATTAGTGCTGCAAAGAATGAATTCTTGTTTAAATTTTTGAATGACGAGGGGTATAACAGAATATTGAGGGCTCGACCATGGTTTGTTAATGGCCAATTACTCAACCTGTTAGAGTGGCAACAATTTTTGATTTCAATAAATGCCC